TGTCTATTTGTCTCTGTCTGTCTCTGTTTCTGTCTGTCTCTCTGTCTGTCTCTGTCTGTGTTTTTGTCTGTCTGTATCTCTCTGTCTATCTGTCTCCCTTTCTCTCTGTCTCTTTCTCTCTGTCTATCTGTCTCTCTTTCTCTCTGTCTGTATATATCTGTCTGTCTCTCTGTCTCTCACTTTCTATCTCTGTTTCTCTGTTTCTCTCTCTCAGATCCACAGATAAACAGGCATGAATAGACAGATTGATATGATGATTGTGTGAGGTTGACCCGTTTTATTTAATCCTCACAAAGAACCATTTTTGTCTGCCATCAACATGGCTGCTGCTAACTCCGGGAGAGCAGCACACTGCACCTTTTTGGTCTCACGTGTTATTCGACTGACATGAAGTGGAACAACTATATGAAATCAATTACTTCGTCTACTGCGAGGAAAGTTGGTTCTCTGTGTCGTGCTAGAAAAATTTTCTCGACAGAATCCAGTTTGCCCATTTATAAATCTACCATTCGCCCGTGCATCAAATATTGTTGCCACATCTGGTCTGGTGCTCCTGCTGTGTATCTGGAAATTCTTGACAAAATCCAAATAAGGATCTGCGATATAATCGCTCCTGACCAGGCATCCCGACTTCAGTAACTTTCTCACCAACGTGACGTGGCTTCCCTCTGTCTTTTCTACAAATATTTTCATGGCAACTGCTCGGACGAGCCTTTTCCGCTGGTGCTTCGATTGCATGAATTTAAACGCGCTACTAGATTGGCAACTAGGTCTCATCATTTTACTGTTGAACTTGCTAGACGCAATCGCCTCTTCTGCTCTAGCATTTTATTTTCTCGCACTTCTCGCTTGTTTTCCAGTCAGCCTTAATCCTCAAAAATTTAAATGCAACGTCAATCGCCATCTTCCGTCTTGTGAATAATGTAATAACACTGGTATCTCATTTTAACAGATATACATATATAAATTGTCGTCTAAATGATGCCAAAAAGAAAATTCTTAAAAAAAAACAAACTAATTAAGACATGCGTGTCCGTCAACCTTAAACAATAATCTTTGTCAATTTTATTTTTCAGTCTTTATGATGATCGATACTTGATCTATCTCTTACTGTTATATCCCCGGGCAACGCCGGGCTCTACTGCTAGTTAATAATAAAATTAATAATATTGTTACCTCATCATTACGTATCATGAATAACTTAAAAAGGAACGCTGCTGAGTTTATGGCTGGTCTAGTTTGTCATTAAATCTTAATGACAAATCAGAAAAAATCAGAAAAATAAGTAAATATAAGCATTTTAATTACTATCATTTTATTAAAGATTATAATAAATTGTTTTGTTTGCGTTAATATATAGTGGGTTATCAGTTATAGTGAAGTGTATGAGTTTTGAAACAGATTAGTTTGATTTGGCAGAAACAGAAACAAAATGTAATTAGGTAGACTATATACCCCCTCCCCCAAAAATAATTAAGAAAGATTGTGGAGTAGTTACCCCGTTTTCTTCTCCACGGCTTAAATTCAAATTTTTCCTTTTCTTGTTGTTATCTAAGGTTAGAGAGTACAGTCTACCGGTTTATTTAACCCATAGCTATGGGAGAGTGAGAATAGACTGATTCGTGGATTTCTCAAGGCTCTTTGTCCGAAAGTGTACGCCACAGATGAGTCGGGATTTTGAGCTCAGATTTCCGACTCCATTTTCTCCCCTGATTTCCATTACCCTCTACCCGCAGGGCGTGTGGTAACGTTTAGCATGGAAACAGACAGTTACAGAAAGAAAAGAACATTATGCTAAACTACCTAATTCTTTTACACTATTACTTGAAGTGCCGTCTTTTTAAATAAGAAAATAATTGACTGAATTCTAAAAATATATCATCGAGTTATGAGTTATTGTATAGTGGGTTATCAGTTATAGTGAAGTCTATGAGTGTTGAAACATACTAGTTTGATTTGGCCTTGTTAGTTAGATAGCCCACCATAAGAGGGATATAAAACAAGAAAATCAAATTGTAAAGTGAACAACAAATTTATATACATATATATCAATTAAGGTCTCTACAAATAAAATTAATGTATTTTGTTTGATACAAGGTCGTCAAAATGTTCGTTGTAGTCCTTGCAAGAATGAGTTTATGTGTACGTAGGCAGGAACGTATGTGTGGATGTATGTATGTATGAGCGTTAGGAATGTCTTTGAAGTAATCGCTCAGTCTTAAAATGTTCCGTTCGTTTATCAAGTATAAAAGAGGTGATGGAGAAAGATAGAGATAGTAATAACGATCGCTTGACGTTTGTCAAGGGACGTGTTAATATGCTCCTCTCCTTCTCTCTGGTGACAGGCGAATTTGCCCGTCTTTTATTTTGTTTTGGGGGCTTGAAAAAGTCATTTGGGAAATCACACCCGGATATGATTCAGGCCTTTTCATTGGACGATGAAAATTTTTTGCGTCGGCTCGCGAAAAGGTCCGTGAAAGGATTTGTTTCTGAGAATTTAAGATTATTTGAATTTTTAAAAAAATATTTCCTAGTTTTCTATTGGCCGAAAAACATTTCGCATCAAGGTGTGAAATTTCACGAGTTTTGATTTGGATTCGCTTTTGCGTATGTGTTAAGCAAAGTTTGTAAATTCGAGTCTTCTTAATTTCTAGCAAAATCAGTGAGCTTAGCATTTGAATTTTAAATCTAGATCTTGTTCACTACAAATAAATAAATCATAGAAGTACAGCTTTTATTTTGCTTTGTTTTAACATCATAATTTAAGTCTCTCGCTGAAATATTACTAAAGGTTCAAGTGTGACCTGGGATAAAAAAAGGTCGAAAACATTGCTATCGGTAAGGGTTTACCTATAGCAATGTTGAGCTTATATTTCAGTCTTTATTGGTAATAATAATTTATTGGTAAATCTCTTGCGAAAGGCGTGAATTCCTCCTTCCCCTGTCCCATCGTCAGTCATCCCGATACGATTAAATATAAGAAGCTGGTTGGTATTCTGGTTTCGTTAGGAGGAAACTGTCGCAAGTTTGTAAACATTTTGAAGTATTAACATTAAGGCTGTCAACATATCTGTGTCGCGATTTTCGACGAGTGGAAGCAGAATTTGGGCTTCTTAGACAATTTGGGTTGCAGAGCCTACTGCAGGAAATGGCTACTTGAGATGCGGCAGAGAAGATTCAAAATCGGGCCGCAAATTATAACCAGGAAACGGAAGCGTTTGCTTACCATTAAATGAATGAGCTTGGAAAAAAAAAGATTCGTCTTTTGATCTTTATTTAATTGTTGAACTAAATAGAAAGTCTGGCTGCACTGTGTGTACACGTATCCATAAAGTAAGAACTTCAATACGATAAGTTTTACACCAGTTCGCATAACGAAAATGGGATTAAAATGAAGCCAATGTATTTCTCTTAAAATTACAATAGTTTATTGATAAGTAAGATATCCAATTCTCTAAAACAAGTTTTAGACCAGACAGAGAAACGAAACAGGTAATCATAATGAAGTCAATTTATTTTTATTTAAAATTACAAGATTAAAAATTAATTGAAAATTAACTGAAAATTAAGGTCCCCAATTTTATAAAACGCATTTTAGACCAGATATCATAATGAAACTGGTATCAAAATGAAGTCAATTAATTTCTATTCCAAATTACAAGGGTCGATTGATAAGTAAGGTCTCCAAATGTACAAAACAATTTTTAGACCAGATGGAATAACAAAACTGGTATCAAAATGAAGTTAATTTATTTCTCTTCGAAAGTACGCGGGTTGATTGATAAGTAAGGTCTCCAATCCTAGAAAACAAGTTTAAGACCTGATCGTATAATGAAAATGGTATCAAAATAAAGTCAATTTAATTCCTTAAACAGGGTTATATTTTCACATATTCACTATTCAGCGACAGTCATTTTCCCACTTTTTCAACCCCCGCCCCAGAGAATATTTCTGGTTTACTTTTCTTCTAATTGTCCCTGGCAACTTTATCTTCGTCATCGGATTTTAAACAAAATCCAAAGAAGAATCTGCAATGTAATCGGTCCTGACCTGGCATCTCCACTTCAGTCAATTTTTCACCGACGTGACTTGGCTTCCCTCTGTCTTTTCTACAAATATTTTCATGGCAACTGCTCTGATATTTTTTCCCTAGTGCCCCGACGACATGAATTTAAGCATCTTACTAGATTGGCATCTAGGTCCTACCCTTTTACGGTTGAAATAGTTAAATGCAACCGCCACTTCTACTCCAACAGATTCTTTTCTCAGACTTCCCACCTGTGGATGACTACAATCTTCAAAAATTTAAATGCACCGTCAGTCGCTATTTTTTCTTCTTGTATCCCGTTTATCTTTTTCCCTCTCCTCAATCCTCTCTATACTGAGTCTTTTCTTTCACTTTCATTCCCTGTAAATCATGCATACTTGTGGCATTTCCGCTTTCTTGCTTGGGGTGAAATGATTAAACGGCAGCGTTCGTAATAATAAGCATAGTTGTCGTCTGATATTTCACATTTCAAAAGATTAGACGGGCGGAGCCGAAAAAATAATGCAATAATTAAAATAAATAAAAATAATCTTTTAAATTATATTTTCTTAAAACTGTACGAAATTAGTTAACGGGTGAAAAATTAGTTGGTTTATTGAAATAATAATAATAATAATAATAATAATAATAATAATAATGTATCAATTTTCACGGTATTAGCATCCATCGAAGATAAAACTTGGCATGTCACAGTGGGCTAATATTAGTACTGGAGAATATGCAAATTTTTCCGGGGAGGAAACTGTATGAAATTAGTATGAACATCACCCAGGCCTTGTTCCAGAGATAGGTTCTTGTTGTGGTGTCCTCCCTCCTGTTCGTCGAATGGGGATTTGGCTATTGGTATAAATTCCTCTTTCTCGTTATTTTTTTGTAGATCCAGGATGTGGAATCCCTAAGAGCGGACATCATTCTCGAAAGAAGAGGATTGTTGGAGGAATACGTACTGTCTATGGACAAATACCGTGGCTCGTCTCCTTACGTTTTCGAGGCGTACATCCATTTATTAACCGGACGGGATATAACCATTTGTGCGGAGCGAACCTTATCCACCCTCAATGGTTACTGTCAGTTGCACATTGCTTCAAGTGAGTAATTGTACCGGTAAACAAATATTAGATTACATGTGGTCTTCGACTTATGACGGAGTTTCGTTCTTACGATGCGTTGCAACGCGATTTTCCGTGAATAAGCACTTACGTCACTCACCTATGCTAACGATATAGTAAAGTAATAATTTAGGATGTAACAACATATTTCTATGACATTTGTTAACATAATTAGGACTAAAAAAAACCTACGGAGGACATAAATTTAATACATATAATGAAATTAAATTGTATTAAGCTGCTTGTATGTTTATTGCCAGTGATGACATTGGCATTCGATAGATGAGATGAGGAAGCGTAAGATCTTGTCTCTCTTGCTGTACTCAGAAGCAGCGGGCAAATCTGTGGAAGCAAGAAAAACAAACGTGAGTTTGTTTTTTTAATGGGAATTCACCAACTTAATTTTTCCGTCCTGCGTATGACGATAAACTACATCCGCGTCCTGGGTAAGACGATAAACTACATCCGCGTCCTGGGTATGACGATAAACTACATCCGCGTCCTGGGTAAGACGATAAAATACATCCGCGTCCTAGGTAAGACGATAAAATACATCCGCGTCCTGGGTAAGACGATAAAATACATCCGCGTCCTGGGTAAGACGATAAAATACATCCGCGTCCTGGGTAAGACGATAAAATACATCCGCGTCCTAGGTAAGACGATAAAATACATCCGCGTCCTAGGTAAGACGATAAACTACATCCGCGTCCTGGGTATGACGATAAACTACATCCGCGTCCTGAGTATGACGATAAACTACATTCGACAGCAAGGATTTTGATTAGGAGGTTTTGTGGAGCGTGGAACCACTTCTTAATTGCTGGTGTTCCCAGGTCCACCCTGACGTGGAGCAGTAACACCTGTCAGAATTACAGCTATGGGCAAATTGTTACCCACCCCGCGCCAAAAAAGGGGGTCAAATGATAAATCAAAATAAAATTTCATACCAACAATACTTTTTGGGAAAAATTATTATCAGGCGTACATTTTAAAAAGGAAATATATTACCAGCAATACATTTTTGAAAAAAAAATATTACCAGCAATAAAAATCTTGTCGGCATTAAATAACCCATTGAGGTTGATATGCCGTAAAACAAAACAAACCTAACCTATATATACTGAGATAGATAGATAGATAGATAGATAGATATTACCAGCAATAAAAAAAAATCTTGTCGGCATTAAATAACCCATTGAGGTTGATATGCCGTAAAACAAGACAAACAAAACTAAAATTAAAACTCAATGTTCTTCTCATCAGGATCTTGTTGGATTTTTTGGGCATCAGCTCAGGCTTAAAATTAGAACTGATAGAAAACGTTGGCTATTGGTAGATTTGTGCAAAAGTTGCTTGAAAGTCGTTCTGCTAGTTAACGTGAGTAATTGTTGTTCTTGGACTCCGTTGTTATGGCCCTTATCAAGATTCCCAATCTCACCAGTTTGTTTTTATCCCCTTCTTATTTTTGATTGGGTTATCTTTTGATTTCCCTACCCCACAATTTATTTTCTCCTCCCCTCACTTTTAGCGAGTGAACTATCTTGGTTTTTCCTATCAACAGAATACAGCCACCTTCTTATTTTTCTGTGGGTTGAAAGGATCCTACTAATATATTTTTGTTTTAGTTTGAATATTTGGTTGTTTTTTTTAATTATTATTTTCGTTATTGGGATTATAATTAATCTTCTATTCTTCACACTTGTTAATAATGTTTTTCTTTTTTCTTTTCTTGTTCTCCCACGCTCAGTAACCGTCTTGTGTCTTATTGGCTTTACTGATTTGCATGGGGTGATATGATTAAATTTTATAAAATATCACGTTGGCAATAGCCGAAACATTTTTTTTTGAGAACGACCGTATTTTCCGGCTTTCAAGAAGCATTTTTTTTCCTAAAAAAATACCCTGAAAAATATGGTGCGTCTTCCAAGACGAATGTAATGCCCAGGCTCAAGTAATCTTGGACGGTTACCTAATTGACTTGACTCACGGGGAAGTGGATTTGTATATTGAGTGATTACACTAATGTTAGCTATCTATTTAATTCAACATTTTATATGATTAACCTCAGTACTTAGCTGTTACAAGTATTTCCAAGACTACAAACCTTCCGGGAGCTGAGCCACAAGCTTAAACATGCTCTGTCTACTAGCAGCGAGGAGAGCCTTTCTGCTCTTGACTAGCATGTCATTGCCATACAAACAAAACCGGAAAAGTGATTAATATAAACAATACTGGCACCAGTATGTGAGGGACGCATGGTGGACGTGCTGTTGCATGAGAATTACTTATTTTTGTCTTAGAAATTTCTTTCCAATATTAGGGTGCGTCTTCCATGCCGCAACGTCTTGTAAACTGGAAAATACGGTAATTCATGAATCTAATGAGAATCTGAGGTGCGCGTGAAGAACGGTTCTTGACTATTCCGATTTCATGTGTAAAAATGAAGTTGCAGGTATTTAAAAATAAAATGGTTACGTTATTTTTCTGACAGTGTTAACCTATCCGAAAATGCTAACATGTCCAAAACAAACTTCTGGTATGCAGTCCTCGGAGAGAACAGTTTGAGTGAACAGGAAGAGACTCAAAAAATGGTTGAAATCGACAAAATCGTCATCCATGAACTTTATTCCTGTAAGTCAATAGAATTCTTAAATATCATTAAAGCTTCCCATATATATATATATATATATATATATATATATATATATATAAAAATGAAATGGACAAAGTCTGACAATTATTTAAAGACATTTTTATGTTTATACATTCTTTTTATAGATACAAATATTTAAGTAAATGCTCTGTTTATAAAAAACAGTATTAAACAACATTTACCGGCCGAGATATTTTCCGACAGGGATCGAACCTGTGTCCTATAAGGAACCGTCATATTAGCCTGACGTGCCTTTAACCGATTTGGCCACAGAGGGGCGTCCGGTAAACAATGTCGATTTTACTGTCTTTAAACTACAATCTTCCATGATTCTCTCACGAAAATTCAAATCTATAAAAAGAATGTATAAATGTCTTAAAATTTCATAATGTGTGACGTCATTTGTTTATATTTGGATACGCCATGAGCAGGTATGAATGTACGTGAGAGAATCATGGAAAATATACATATATATATATATAATTACCTACATATACACACATATATATATATATATATATATATATATATATATATATATATTTATTTGTGTTTGTGAATGAATAAATTGCAAATATTATGTCTGCTTATTTTTATCATAATCTTTTAATATGAGCGAATATTTTCAATATGTTACAATTAAATAAGGCAAGAAATGCACTGTAATAATGTCAATGGTTTCTCTACCTGGAACATTAGCGAACAGATTTTCAACGTCAAATAATGCTATCGTTTCATTATTAGGTTTTTTGATTTTTAATATTTGTATAAGTTCAAGGGTTAACATTGTTATTACAGTGTATTCCCTGCCTTACGTATAAAATTCATTTAATTCCTTGATTTTAATTTTAATATTGACATGTCTTATAGCCCATTAAATAAAATAAATATAGTATGTTAGTATGAAAATAATATAATGTATAAAATTGATTTAATCAGAAGCCTATTTAAGATATTTTAAAAGCATAAACAATAATAATGCCCCAAAAAATAAAATCCTAAAATTTGTTGGATACACATCTCTTTGTAACTAAAAAATCATAATTCTTCACCCGGATGTAATTGGTGACATGTCTAAAAATGTCGGTTCATCTCGACAAGTCTGAATAACACACACATCCTAACCTACATTGCTACTCTTTTCGGCTTTAACTTTGACCTGTCTTTTCATTGGTCAAAGAAGACATACTCATAAAAAAATTTGAAATCTTGTTCCTCCCTCCTTCTTAACTTAAATGATATACCATTCTGTTTTCAAAAGTAAATCATTTTCATCAAAAATTACCCAACATCGCTTGATAATGGAACACATTTAAATTCCGAAATATAGAAATGTCACGATGTAAAATATTTTTAAATAAAAAATTAAAAATATATATATATATATATATATATATATATATATATATATATATATATTATAATATATATGTATATATATATATATATATATATATATATATATATATATATATATATATATATATATATAAATATATATATATTATAATATATATATATATATTATAATACACACACACACACACACACACACACACATATATATATATATATATATATATATATATATATATAATGACCATTCGTTCCAATTCTAATCGGGTTCGGTATATTGACACACGCGTAAATATCCTTCGGAATGTTTTGAATCCACAGCTTCCATAACAAGTAGGACTTATATAAGTATTTACGGTCTAACGCTCTAGGCAGCTATTCCCCTCAGATAACTTATCAACCTTTTTCATGCATTTTAAAGCCAGAAAATATTTTTAAATTTTTAGAATTTTGGGCAGATCAAGATACAAATCCACATATTGCCTACATTAATCACTCGTCCGATTTTTTTGTATGCAAATGACATACTAATCAAGAGCAGAAAGTTGGTCAAAGAAGACATACTCATAAAAATTTTTTGAAATCTTGTTCCTCCCTTCTTCTTAACTCTTAAATGAAATACCATTCTGTTTTCAAAAGGAAATCCTTTTCATCAAAAATTACCCAACATCGCTTGATAATGGAACAGATTTAAGTTCCGTAATATAGAAATGTCACGATGTAAAATATTTTTAAATAAAAATATTATATATATATATATATATATATATATATCATAAAAGATAATCAACCCAAATAAATACAAATTAAAAACTGTTCCTGCCAAAACAATAGTTAGAATAAACTACAACCCCCAAAGCGAACAAATAGCTTTAATTAAATTCTCAAACCCAAGCAAAACTATTAAATAAGTGATATAAACAATTTTTTACTACGATCAATAAATACATAAATAAAATAAGAAACAAAAAATAAAAATAAATAAAAACAAGCAAAATAATTTAACCAAAATAAATAAACAACTTCCGATAAAATAACCGCCATAATAGACTACCAACAATGCACCACTGACCCGTATATATATAAATAGCCGAGAAAAATAACAGCACACGTGGCCTGACGATTGCATCTAGCATGAAACAGAATGTCGCCTCTAAGTGTTGACTTCTATGTTCACTTTTATATTTACACACGCTCTATCTCTGATAGTGAGCACTTTATCCCATAAATATAGCACACCTTAAGACTATATTTCTTCATATATATATATATATATATATATATAATTTTGGGCAGATCGACATACAAATCCATATATTGTCGACATTAATCCCTCGTTCGATTTTTTTTGTACGGCAATGACATACTAGTCAAGAGCAGAAAGGCTCCCGCCGCTGAGTAAAGTAATAGGATTTATAATTACTTATAAGGACTTATATAATTTTTAGGACTTATATAACCAAATCATAATTATCTGCCCAAAATTCTAAAAATCTAAAAATATTTTCTGGATTTAAAATGCATGAAAAAACGTTGATAAGTTGTCTGAGAGGGATAGCGGCCTAGGGAGTTAGACCGTAAGTACTTATATATCCTACTAATTATGGAAGCTGTGGATTCAAAACATTCCGAACTTCTCCCTTGCAAATGGAATACAAAGGCCATGTTCTCAGGGTCGACTCATCCACCTTTCCTTCGTATTCATATGGAAGCATAAAAGGAAGTAATCATTTTGGCGTCGATTATTTGCTGTACACTCGTCGTGAAGGCGAGATGAATCTCCTGGACCGTTGTCACCTCAAACGATCTTATTGTTTTCCTATTATTTTACGATATTTACGAGGATCAAATCTAATTTTTCAGACTCTGGGAATACCAAATACGACATCTCTTTACTGAAGCTTTCCGAGCCAGTGATGGAAACGGATTATATTAAGTTGATTTGTCTGGATCGAGAGAAAATTGTCTTTCCGGGCGAAATTTGCACAGTAGCCGGATGGGGGGAGCATTCTTATGGTAAGTAAAATTAATCTGAGTAAAGAAATCTTTGGTCAATGTTCTGTTCAAATGGTCTGTTCAATAACTGATAAATTATTCGAACCAGTATCATGATTATTGCTTCTTTTATTTTTTTTTTACGTGTACAAAATTTCGGTTCTCGAACAACATTGCCGAGCCGAGTTTAGCCAAACGGATTAATTTCCGAGTCGGCCGCCATGTTATATACATTCGTCTGCTGTGGCGTGATTTTCTTTTCGAATTTTATTGTACTGTGACTTTTTTTTCTCTGCATTAAATCTTAATGGAAAAATATTTTCGGTTTACGAACATTTCGGGTTACGAACTGCCTTCAGGAACGAATTAAATTCGTGAGCCGATGTTTCACTGTATTAATAAAAATAAAACATCATTTTTTTTTTATTTTCAATATTAACTTTATATAATAATAATAATAATAATAATAATAATAATAATAATAAAAATAATAATAATAATAATAAAAGACAAGAAATTCAGGAAGTGTATGCTTATTGACGTAGCACTACAATCTGAGAGAAACACCTCCATGAAAATTATCTAGAAATTGTCCAAATATGAGGACCTGGAGATCGAGATTAACAGGATGTGGGGAATGAAGACTGAGACTGTACCAATAGTAATCGGAGCACTGGGCCTCGTGGGAAAAGGAATGGACAATTTTACTAATAGTGTCCTGGGTAGCATCACCATGCAAATTGCTCAGAAGATCGCCCTACTAGGAACATCCCATATACTAAGAAAAGTGCTATCCATTGAATGACTATTCTTCTCTAAGGCCTAAGAACCATAGTTCGGACCCTGCCCTACAGGATACAATGCAGGAAACGTAAAATACACAGATGGTAATAATGATAATAATGATAATGATATATATATATATATATATATATATATATATATATATATATATATATATATATATATATATAACAATGTTTCTATTTATTTTTACCCCCTTTGTTGTTTCAAAATACTTTAAATTTAATTCATGTTTGCTTCGTTCTAAAGCCTTTATATATTTAATTTAATTATTATCAAATATTTCTTGATGGCTGGAGTTTAGTAGATAATCTAACTTGAACTGATTTATGTAAATTATCTAGAATGTTATGATGTTGGTTTGATCCCTTAATGATGTATCTCTGGTTATATAGATCTTTGGTATATGGTTTGTAATAACCAATATTCAAGTCCAAAGTCACATCGAGAAAGTTGATCACTTAAGCAATTAAATTCATAAGCACTTTAATCATGCACCAACACTAAAACAGATTTTTAACAAAAATAATGTTAAGATCAGATATAGGTGCATTAGTAACATCGATAAATCTATATAATGACATTATATTAAATATATTTCCAAGAAAGACAAGATTAATTTTTTGAAAAATAAATGCAACTGCTGAAAAAATATGATCTGTCCCTTAAATGGAAAATGTATGACTGATTATATTGTTTACTGAGTTAGCATTCATTCCAGTAATGTTGCCAAATTTTATTTTGGTTCCATTGAAAATCTTTAGAAATTTCATTTCTACCGTCATCAAATGACTTTAGGCAATAAAAAAATAAATAAACAGCACTACTCTCTCTAAACATTTCTGGCAATTAAAGAATGGTGGTAATACAGTCATTATCATGTGGAATATTGTAGCAAGAGATGTAATTTGCCTTGTTGAAAAATTAGTTATCTTAAAACACTTAAATAACCTTAGCTTATTAAATAAGAGAAATGAATTGATGGTTACATGTAGGCATAAAAATAAATATCTGCTCAAATACGTTAATTCAAATTTATTTTTAATGTAAATTATGGTTTGTTTCTTGGAAAAAGAACCCGGTAATCTCCCTTTACGATTAATATAAAAAATTAATATTCAAAACTGTGATAAATTATTTTATTTTGTCATGTTGGGATAAAGATTTATCGATGTTACTAATGCAGCTATAGCTGATCTTAACATTATTTTTGTTAAAAATGTTTTAGTGTAGATGCATGATTAAGGTGCTTATAAATTAAATTTAGAAAAATTCTTCTAATACTCGTTTGAACATTATGATTAAAAAGTGGATTAAACAATATATTGTTACACCTACAGTGTTTCTGTTTATTTTTACCCTTTTTTTTAAATACTCTAAATTTACATTATGGTTGTTGAGTTCTAAATCTTTTATTTAAAATTATTATTATCAAATATTTCCTTATGGCTGAACTTCAGTAGATAATCTAACTTGGATTGATTCATGTAAATTATCTAAAATGTTATAATGTTGGTTTGATTCTTTACTGAGATATCTATGGTTATAAAGATCTTTGGTATATGGTTTGTAATAACCATTATTCAAGTCCAAAGTCACATCGAGAAAGTTGATCACTTTTACATTGGTGGTAATGGTGGGACTCTTTTCCAGATTTTAACTTTCCTGTTAACTACGATCTTCAAATGCAATATCAATCGTCCTATTCTATCTTCTTGAATCTTGTTCTTTTTATTGCTCTCTCTCCTCTGTTACCTTTTCTCGGATTCTTTCACTTAGTAATCCTTTTTGGCTTAGAGGCTTTATCGCCTTGCTTAGGGTGAAATTAATAATAAATATCCCTTCTGAAGCAAGAAAGCCACAGAAAATGCACAAAGCAATATCTCATTTGTTCTCTGCCTCAACTAAGAAAAACCCTTTTTTCAACATATGTAACAATAGGTGGACGAAAAGCGTTATATGTGGGGAGAGGAAAATCGACCTGCTTTTCTCATGTACGTGCGTTTGTATGATTAGAGTGTCACTTTTCAGAGGTGTGGATTTCAAACTATTTCTTATGCAGGTATGGCTTAATGTTATCAGAAAGAGAACTACTAATGCAGGGGACTTGTTTTATAGATTGCGCAAAGGTGCAAAAAAAAAAAAAAAATGAAAAAAGGATTTTTTTTTCCATTTCAACCTTTGGAAGTAAAGTCTGATGATCCAGAGCCCTTTAAAGGGCTGTGGTGAAATAATTTATTACATGGAATCTTAAAGTGGTCTGTTTTTATTCAAACATATATATATATATATATATATATATATATATATATATATATATATATATATATATATATATATCGTAGGTATATATATATCGTATAGGTATATCCGTTGGTATATAATCCAGGCGTATCCTAGTAATATCAAATATTAAAACTGATCCACAGAGAGCTCAAGGTGTTCATTATAACAGACCATATCTATTTTTTACAATAAAAAACAATATTACCTCACATGGGTATAGTCTATTTCAAGCTGGTCCGACTTCAGCCGTCTTCAGCCTTTAAGTGTCTGTCTGGAATTGGGGTTTTGAATTTATTTTCGATATCAGTCCTCCTCTAAGAAACGTATTTTTTTTGATAAGGGGCTTGTGTTGGTGTCTGGGGGAGGGCATAATTTATCTCATTACGGGAAGTGGATTGCTCGCAAAGATAAGTTGTAACAAACAGTATGAGTGTCTCAAGGGCTTTCTTAGCAATAAGAGAGGACCCTACGACTTCGTGACTCCAAAATATTGATAGCGTTGTCCTGAAGAGTTGCTGTTGAATCTGGCTCAACACAGCGAAAGATGCCTCCCAAAAGCTAAGCAAAGTATTAAGAAACAGAGAAAATTCATTAGAAACAAAGAGTACTGAACTATTACGTAATATCTTTCTACTTAGAACTCTGTTATAGTAATTGGCCTACGCACTCATTGACTCTCCTAGCTATAAATAGGAGCAGGTACTGCCTTTTTGAAGAGGGAAGTTTCCAGCAGTCAGCTCTGACAGTCGGACCGAACATTCTTGCTGTAACACTCTCGTTTGTATATGTTTGTATTACTGTTTCTGTTAATATATTCGTTTAAACTAATTCCTCTCTTTTTAGCTTTATTTCTGGCCCTAACAAGGCCATGAAAAACTCTGTTTTAAATAAAATTGTCATCTGAATACTTTTTACCTCTTTGCAGAGGGAAATGGATCCGCTTACCCCTTTCAAACGGAAGTAAACGTTTTATCGAAATCTCAGTGTGAAGACAGAATCAAAGACATTAATAAATCAGTGAGATATATTTACTCAAATTCGAAAACGACATTTTGTGCGGAATCCGACAAAGGAAATGACACATGTTATGTAAGTATTTCATGATCCTGAACCATTTTTTAAAAATTACTTTAATTATTTGTCTATAATACGCATTTATTTATTTTACAGTTTTTAAAGCAGTCTTCCAAGTATAGCTTAGATGTAGCACGAGGCCGAAAGTATGGGGCACTCAGTGAGGATCGAACTCACTATTCAGTCGTAATTGTTCGAGCAATACATGATCGCTAAACATTGCACCGCCTCGAGGTGCCCCATTCTACAGGTTTTAAATACGAGGAGTAAATATAAACTTTTTTTCGGTTACGTGTATCGCCATATTTGGTAGGGAATTGGTCGAAAGTTCTATCTATGGTTTTAAATCAGCATTCAGCAACCCTTGGCACGCGTGCCAAATACGGCACACCGATGACTTGTTTCTGGCACGCAAAGCTTATTCATCAGATTTCCTTTTATTCTTTTCCTCTAGTGTATATCATTATGTCATGTATTTTTTATTTTCTTCCCTTTACAGATTGTGCAGAATGTCACGATCATTAGCTAAGAAACGATTTCATTCGAATGATGAAGATATTAGTAAGTTTAAAGAATACTGGACTGAAAAATTTGGTCTGATTAATAAAGAAAATACAGCTTTATGCATTGTTCCGAAAAAATCGTTTGTAGGATTTCTGATAAGAGACAGTTTGAAAGTGTTTATAAGGTCTTAAGCAATAAAACTGAAGAGGAAAAAAAGAGAATGAATTTCTCGTGAACTAAGCAAGACAAAAAAAAAAAAAAAAAAAAAAACTCCCCAAAAAAAACAGGTTGATAGAATGAATTTCTCGTGAACTAAAAGCAAGACAAAAAAAACAAACAAAAAAAAACAACCCCCCAAAAAAAACAGGTTGATACTTTTATGAACTTTATTTCAGGTAGACCCAGTTCCAACTTGTTGCTAATTTTGAGGTTTCAAAAATTTTTGTTGGCATGTGGAAAAATGTGTTGGAGCTTTGGCCGGTTTTGGCGCACACTTTCAAAAAGGTTGCCCACCTTTGGTTTAAAGTAACAAATTCGTAATCAGTTAAGTGCCATACGCGATACACACTTGGGCGACCATGTCTTTTTCAATTCATAACTGTCTAGGCAGATTTTCCCGCAGTAGGTTGTCATTTCTTCCTGCGGTAGACTGGTTGCCGGCCAAGACTATAGAACCCAGCCTGTCCTGCTATTTAACCCATAGTGTGGGGGATAATAGATGGATTCATACTTTCCCAAGGATATTTTCATGTATGTGACTGTAACGAACTCGACTGGAACTTGAACTTGGCTCTCTGATTTCACATTCCGAGCCAGTAACCACTATGCTACAACGCACATTCATAATAAAGACTTTCAAACGTTAATAAAACAGTGTATTAGCTTTCAAAAAAATATTCACAGATATTAAGTCAAATTTTTATCTGTTTACTGACATAAGACCAGACACCAGGTTTGTTCTCAGTGTGCAGCTTTTTCCAGTCAAACACTTGTGGCTTAAAATAACCCTTCCGCCAGATCGTCACCCACGAAATAAAACCACAAGACTATTCTGGTTGGAGGCAGAGATGAAGCGAGGTGAGGAGAGACGAACAGTTTATCGGGCGTGTCTTCCCCTTTCGCGTCGCTGCGAGGCGGTCTCTCGTCAATCTCCGTGCCTTTCCACTGTTTTCCGTTGGTCGTGACTACATTGTTCTTTGTCTTATTATTATTGTCCAAAAAAAGAAATTTTATCAAGTTCTAACTTCATTCGCTGACCTTTTTTGTCAGGGCCGTTTGAAATGGTCCTTGTGAGGTTCACTTCACTTAGCTGATAAACATTCTGAAAGAATTTTTGCACAACTTAACAAGATATCGGCTGTCACTGATAACGCTACATCGTATCAGTTCCTGATGTACACACTATATAAAATGATTATCATACTGGCTAAATTCATTCGAAGAGTTTTTGGTAAATTTGCAGTATAAGCACCAAAAGCCCCCAGGTGTTGAGAATGTATCATTCCGGTACATTCTGTTATACTGAAAAATCGGAGAGCCGAGTTCGAATTCCAGTCGAATCCATTACATTCACTTACATACTAATACCCATGGGAAAGGTATGAATCCCCACCAGCTATGGGTAAATAGCAGGACAGACCGGGTTTTATAGTCTTGTATTGCAATTAGTCCACCGCAGAAAGAAATGGCAACCTACTGCGGGAAAAAAAATCTGCCTCGTCAGTCATGTATCGAAAAATAGATGATCGCCTAAACGAGTATCACGCATGGCACATTACTGACTGACTGACCATTCTGTTGTGAAATTACCTCGTTATTTCGAAAATGGCATTAAAACATTGCGATCGATTACCGTTTTTGATTTATCGTCGATGTAAGTTCGATCTCTTTCGCGTTGTCCGGCCGCCATTACTAGCGTTGTTTAAATGCGTTTTCCTCCAGACGTAATGCGCGAAAGCTTATTTAGTTAACGGCCTTTTTACGGCTTTTCGTATCTTACAGGACTTGATTACTGCGCGATTTTCGCGGATGTTATTTTAAAATGCGCTTATTGTTTAAAATGAAGTTTTAAATGAATAGTATTTTTTCTTTATTGTCCTTAATAAATCTGCTTATAGCTAATGAAACAGAATCTCACCCTAAATTCTAATTTATGAATCTTTAAATTCAAGAAAATTTCACGACACATAAAAACAAAACAAAACAAAAAAAACCTCGTTGAAAAAAAAGAAAAAATCCTTTTTTATTTTTCAGGCACGTAATTTATTTTATTTTATTTTAATTGTCGGATTTTACGTTTTTCGTGCATTGTTTCGTACATTCATTTCAAACTTCGAGTATTGCGCAGTAATCAAGACAAGTGAACCTTCCGCGCCGCATGATGACTCGAGGCAAACGTATGTAAACAACGCCAGTAATGGCGGACGTTCTGTGTACGCGACGAGAAAGAAGTCAAACTTACATTGTCCATAACTTCTAAACAGTAATAGAGCGAAATGTTTTAAAGTCATTTTCGAGATAACCAGACAGTTTCGCACCAGAATAGTACCTTCTCAATACCGGGGGCTTTTGGTATTTATACTGCAAATTTACCAATTTTTCCATTCTGTGATTCTTTCTTTGATTTATTTTTCAGGGTGATTCAGGTGGTCCCTTACAGTGTTTTCGAAATGGCCGCTGGTATTTGACTGGAGTGACATCTGCAGGGTACAAATGTGGCGAGGCCCCAGGGGTTTACGGACGCGTCGGATATTTTATTGATTGGATTGAGACAAAAATTAGGGACAACTGAGGAATGGTTACTTTACTTTTTCGATATCAACTCAAAAAACCATTCGAGACGGTTTCCACAATGAAAATATCCACAAGACAACCAAAAAGTCTTTTTATCTACTTGATTGACTGTAAATTATAGCGGGTGTCGATATTTTAAAAAAAATTCATTAGGGGTAAACTTTCAAATTTATGGGAGAGCCTACATGCCGGATCTTCTTCTTCCTCTTCTTCTTCTTCCTCTTCTTCTTCAACTTCTTCTTTTTCTTCTTTTCCTCACCCTCCTTCTCCTGCTCCTCTTCCTTCTTGCTCTCATTCTTCTTCTTCTTCTTCTATTACTACTACTACTTCTTCTTCTCCTTCTCCTCCTCCTACTTCTTCTTTCTTCCTCTGATTCTTCTTCTTTTCCTCCTTCTTCCTCTCGTTCTTCCTATTTTTTCTTCTACTCCCCTTCATTCTCCTCCTGCTCCTCCTTCTGCCCTTATTCTTCTCCTACCTCCTTTTCTTATTTTTCTTCTACAATTCTTGTTGTCCTTTTTCTCCGCCATCTTCTTCCTCTTCGTCCTTCAATTCTTTTTGTCCTTTTTCTCCTTCCCCCTCTTCCTCTTTTTTATCTTCACCTACCCCTCTTCTTCTTTTTCATCTTTCAATTCTTGTTATCCTTTTTCTCCTCCTAATCCTCCTCTTCTTCTTCTTCTTCTTCTATGTGCTGACTCCTTTCAGGATATAGGCGTTCCTGTCCCTCAACTTCTTATCGCATTTGGCTTTTAGGAATCTTTCTCCCTTTATTAAGGCCCTGTAAAAAGCGACAAAAACTGTGGACAAATGGAAAGCGGTCGGCAATATCAACCCCCTTTCCATACAGGCAACATTCCGAATTATTATTGATTATTAGCATTGCTGTCGGTCGAAATTTACAAAATCTTTCTCTTAAAACAATTTCTCAGGCAAATAACTTACTGAAGTCCATTGACTGCTCTTCCTAGTATTGGTGTGAGTTTCCTTCCTAACTTTTTGTTTGAGGTAGCGTGGAACATCAACATCTTGATTGCGTCTTTAGTTTTTCTTACATCTGCTATCCATTTTCATTGTTGCTGCTGTTGGTAGTCCTCAAGTGATGTGGTTTCTTTATTTGTTACAGTTCTTTGCTTGTGATTCTGGAGCGCCAGTTGACAGTTTTTAAATCAGGATGGACTTTGCCAAGACTCTCAGGCTTCAAAGTGATTTTAACCATTGATCTTAGAAGGCAGCTGTATACAACTGACAGTTTAGATATTTCTGAACGGATCTGGTGCCATGCATGACATCCATATGAAAGTCTTGATCTGACGAGGCTATTTAATAATATGACTCAAGTTTTCAGGTTGATGTATTGGTTTTGTAGCAATTTGCGGTGTTGTGTGAAACTACCTCTGGCATAGCCTATTTTATATTCAATTTCTTTTTCTCTTTCTCTTTGAAGGTACACTTTAAATCAGTGCTTTCTCATCTCCAGTATAACTGATCATTTCCAAGGACAGCCATCTGTTCAGAGCAATTTCTGTTTATTCAATACCCACAGAGCCAACATGTGGTTTACACTGAAATTGCCAGCAATACGTTTTTATAAAAAAAAAAAAAAATCGCAACAATACATCTTTATAGCAAATAACTTACTCAAGTCCACTGGCTGCTCTTCCTAATATTGATATGAGTTTCCTTCCTAACCTTTTGTTTGGGGTAGTGTGGAACATCAAAATCTTGTTTTCGTTACTAGTTTCTCTTCGAGTTATCACGCTATCCATTTCAGTTGTTACGGGTTTGGGAAGTCTTCAAGTGAGGTGGGCTTTGGCCACCAACTTTGCTGATCCCCATTTAGCATAAGTACAGTAAGACGCAACAAACATTTCCGGTAGATTTTCATATTTGTTAGATGGGCTTAAATGATTGAACATTGATATTAGAATAGCATAAAATTTTAATAAAACAAAATAGATAAAAAAAAAAAACAGAAATAATTCGTTAGAAACAAATAAAAAGAAATTTTATGTAATATCAGTCCTCCTGCATGGCAGCGAATTCTAGACAATCTTCTCATAGACGAGGAAGAAACTTGAGTCAATGTGGCTCTACAGGAGGATGCTGTGACCGAAACATGTGAACAGCGATGACGTTTTTAGAGAAAATGGAAACAAAGGAAACTTATATTTAACATCAAAAAGAGACAGTTGAAATTTCTGGGGAACATAATGAGGAAAGAGGGCTTGGAAAATCTGATACTCAGAGGAATGTTTGAAGGCAAGAGGAACAGATGAAAACAACGCATAAATTACTTAGTGAGCTTGAGTAGTCCATTATTTGAGGTATTCACAAGAGACATTTCTATCTTCCCTTTTTTCTTTCGTCAAAATAGATCAAAATGGAATAGTCCATTATTTATGAGGTATTTGGCAAGAGAGGTTAAACACTTCGATCTTCGTTTCTTTCTTTCTTTTTCTCATTGAAACCAAGTATTGTCTTTTTCTCTCTTTCCAGGAGATCAAAACGGAATAGTCCATTACGTATGAGATATTGACAGGAGACGTTAAACACTTCTTTCTTCCTTTCTTTCTCATTGAAACCAAGTAGCGTCTCCGTTATGTCTTTCTATGTGATCAAAGACTATTGTGAGACTACTGAGTATAGATGGAGGAACAGGGTTTAGAAGCGAAAACAAAGACAACATTTAGTAAGAGCTACAAAGAACAAGATTTTGTGGAGAGCCATGATCGCCTAGGTCATGGAGAGACACAGCACATAGAAGAAGAAGAAGAAGAAGAAGAAGAAGAAGAAGAAGAAGTTCTCGTAAATGGATGTCAGAACAGAATTTAGGGGAGATAACAAAAAGACAAAACTTGTTAAGAGCTACAAAGGAGATTGTGGAGAGCCATGATCGCTAACGTCCTGAAGGGACACGGCACACAGAAGAAGAAGAAGAAAAACGAGTTTTCATAAATGGATGTCAGAACAGATTTTAGGAGAGATAACAAAAAACAAAATTTGTTAAGAGCTACAAAGAATATTGTGGAGAGCCATGATCGCTAACGTCCCATAGAAAAAAAGAAGAACTAAATGAATGTAAAGTTATGTTTATCTGCCATACAACAGCTGTTGCAAATAGATCCGATTTAAAAGAGAATTCGTCTATCACGCCATTATGCTAATCTACAAGTAAATCATTGAAATGTCGGTATTTTATAGGAGATGTCGATTTGGAGTTGATATATTAGTGTTGTGGTAATAATTATCTTAGTTCTGATTCATTATGGCGCCCTTTTGCAAATGGCTAAATTCCCCAGACAAATAATGATAATGACTCTATCATATACGGTCTACTAAATAACTGCATACTTGGGTTAATTAAATTTAAAATAATTAATGTCTTTTTAGTCCGACATTATTTCTTATTACAACAAACGTTACGTTCAGTGGACGCACGTATTTGTGTAGACATTTTTTAAACAATAGTGCAACACTGAAATCCGAAGGCGGGCTTGGATAGCGAGAGATGCCTATAAAAGGTAAGAACGGAAAGCGAAAAGAAAGAACTCAATATAAATTGTAAGAAAACAGAACATACAGTAGCTAGGGAAAAAAAAATGTCAACCCAACGTGCGAATTACAAATTGAATGTGCGAAAATTAAACAAGTACAACAATTTAAATACATTAGAAAAGGGAGGGGTGGAGGAGATTGTGAGACTTAAATTCGAAGGAGCACTGGGTAAGAGAAAGATGCCTTCCAACAGATAAGCAGAGTATTAAGAAACAGGAAAATTTTTATTAGAAACAAAGAAAACATTACGGAACTGTTTTATAATATAGATCCTCCTATAGGACAGTGAATACTGTAAAATCTCATCAAAATGAAGAATAGATTTGAGCCAACAGAAATCTGGGCCTACAGAAGGATGCTGAGAATTCCAAGCACAGAGCATGTCAGCAACAAATCAGTTTTAGAAGAAATGGAAACAAAAAGGAAATTTATACATAGCATCAGAAGGAGTTGAAATTTCTATTGCAAGTAACGAGGAAAACGGGCTTGGAAAATTTGACACTCATAGTACAGATTGAGGCAAGAGGGACAGAAGAAAACAACGCAAAACATCCTTAGCGACCTTGTGTAGTTGGTTTAACAGAGACTGTAAAATGAAATGACAAGATTTATTAAGAGTTACAAAGGACAGGAAATTGTGGAGCCAAAGCCAAAGTTTTATCCTCAAAAATTTAAATGCAATGTCAATCATTATCTACTGTCTTCGTGATTACTCTTTTATTGTTATCGCTCCTTAATAATGTTTCTCTATTTTCTTATTATTTCACACTCAGTAACCTTTTGGGTCTTAGTGACTTTACTGCCTTGCATGGGGAGAAAGGATTAGAAAACAAATTTAAATGCATTGTCAATCATTATCTACTGTCTTCGTGATTACTCTTCTATTGTTATCGCTCCTTAATAATGTTTCTATTTTTTCTTATTATTTCACACTCAGTAACCTTTTGGGTCTTAGTGACTTTACTGCCTTGCATGGGGAGAAAGGATTAGAAAACAAATTTAAATGCATTGTCAATCATTATCTACTGTCTTCGTGATTACTCTTTTATTGTTATCGCTCCTTAATAATGTTTCTATTTTTTCTTATTATTTCACACTCAGTAACCTTTTGGGTCTTAGTGACTTTACTGCCTTGCATGGGGAGAAAGGATTAGAAAACAAATTTAAATGCATTGTCAATCATTATCTACTGTCTTCGTGATTACTCTTCTATTGTTATCGCTCCTTAATAATGTTTCTATTTTTTCTTATTATTTCACACTCTGTAACCCCTTGCGTCTTAGTGACTTTACTGCCTTACATGGAGTGATATAATTAAAAAAAAATGAAAGAAAAAAAAAAGATGACCACTATGCCTAAGTGACAGCTGAAAACAAAATCTTACAATGCTCATTTAATATTTTGGATTTTCCCAATTGTGTTAAAATACCGATAACCGGATGATGTATGGCGCCAAATTCGTTCAGAATTATTTACACTATTTACATTGTTCGGACACTGTTGTCCTCATGTTTGTTGCCATATTCACGACGTTTCGGCCGTTGTATGGCTCGGCCTTCTTCAGGTGATTTGAATTTTGAACTGAACCCATGTGTTCATGGCCCCGTGGATAAAAGCGTTGGTTGAATCTAGTGACTTGACCCAAAGAGTTGTGAGTTCAATACCTGGCTACAGCTGAGGTGAACAAAATCTTGGAGAGTTGAGTTAAAGGGAAATAACTGATTCTGAAACATTCGGAAGAGGCACGGCTCGTGGAACTAGAAAAATTTACACCGGTGGATGAAATAAAGGGTTCAGTTCGAAGTTACTATCACCTGAAGA